TGGATCAGGCCAAAGGCCCATCCAGTCCAACACTCTGTGTCACACAGTGGCCAGAAATACCAGTGCCATCAGGAGGTCCACCAGTGGGGCCAGGACATTAGAAGCACTCCCATTGTTGACCCCTTCAAGCACCAAGAAGACAGAGCATCACTTGCCCCAGAGCCCCTATCTATACCTTGTGGCTAATAGCCACTGATGGACCTCTGCTCCATATGCTTATCTAATTCCCTTTTGAAGCCATCCATGCTTGTAGCCACCACCACTTCTGTGAGGACTGATCTGCACGTTTCCTCCCCAATAGCTAGCAATCCAAAACAGTCCAGTGGAACCTGAGCGGTGGGTGTTGCCTTCTGACACACTTCCGGTGATGTCAGGGTGTGTGGCATATGCAAATAAGTTACACTAATAAGTTATGCTAATGAGCTCCTGCACATTTTTTTCTACGAAATGACCCCTGGGGATGAACAAATACCTTCCAGTCCAGTTCATGTTTGGCTTGACAGTTGCAAGCAGGGAGCTGATTCCTCATCAGGCCATTAGGCTGTTTGTGAGCAGCTCGCTTCTTGTTTGCTGAGTTGTGTTTCACTTAGTCAAACAGTACACAGTGCAGTGCCATTGGCAGCATTTCACATTCTTCTTGCATAGCCAGTTGGATTTCTGGTTTCCTCACTCTCCAGACCCATCATTACTGTTCACTGCTTTGCTGCCAACCGTTTAAGTAAATAGTGAGCAAAGTGGCCACGGTTTATACAGAACCTTACAGTTCAGCGTTCATTATAGGCTATTATCAACATTATTTTGTGCATGCGCATTTTCACTTAGTTGTACAGGAGTCATAGGGTTGAAGCTCATGCCTACTTATGCAAGTGGTCTTGCCCATATGGAAACACAAGGAAGTCATCACAAGTTGTACCAAGTCAACTTGACTGTACCCATCTTGCTTTTCTTCTTGCTTATGACAATATATACTTCAGAAATCACCTCATAACGACATTCTTTGATCAAATCATATCACACCTCCAAATTGGACTATAATGGTTGTATTTGTTAGTGTCTCTGAATAAATTTTGTTTCTAACACACCAGGTCACTACCAGGCATCCTCAGAGGGTCCTGTGTTGGCAACAGTGGATCATGGCTAAGGAAGCAGGTGTTAGGATGTTCTTGCATAGGAACTGTTATGTATTGGGATTGAATCATCCCTGACTGAATCACCCCAGAGACTGGCTGAGCTTGAAGCACAAGAACAATAGCCTACCAGGATTCTGAAGGTAACCAGTCTAGTGGTAATGTTATATAAATAGCCTATCACTTAAACCGCATTCGATACATAGAGGAGGAGAAGACTGGTTGAAATATAGAGACATTTTGAAACCTGTGGGAAAGACGTTTGAAATGAAAGCGGTGGAAGATATGGACTTTAAATATGACTGGTTGCAATATAGACAGATTTATGACTTGTTTAAAACAGATAAAAGAGTTTTTGGGTTTAGGAAAAAGAATAATGAAATTGAAAATGTATGGGTTGAAGGAGGTAAAAAATTGATATCTAAGATGTATAAGATACTGTTACTATGGTATACGGAGGATGAGACAGTTAAAGAACAGATGATAAAATGGGCAGTTTATATGAATAAAGAAATAGATATGGCAACCTGGGAATTTTTATGGAAAAATGCTATGAAAATATCAACGTGTAATAGTTTAAAAGAAAACTGCTATAAGATGATGTCTAGATGGTATATGACACCAAAAAAGATTGCAAATATGAATAGTAATATGTCAAACAAATGTTGGAAATGTAAAAAAGCAGAAGGGTCTTTTTATTATATGTGGTGGACTTGTGACAAAGCAAAAAGTTATTGGGCTGAGGTACATAGAGAAATGGGAAAAATGGTGAAATGTACTTTTAAGAAAGAACCAGAAATACTACTGTTGGGACTTAAAATGGAAGAAGTCAATGTGGGGAAAAGGACTTTGATGTGGTATATGATTACAACGGCTAGAATGACTTATGCTCAATGCTGGAAACAAGACAGAATCCCAGAAATCGGGGATTGGATAAGGAAATTATTGTTTATGGTTGAAATGGACAAAATGACAAGGAAACTTAAGAATCTGGAAGCAGAAGAATTTTATGCAGACTGGAAAGATTTCAAAGATTACTTAGAGAAACATTGAGATGTAAAGGACCATTTAATTTGCTTTGACAGTTATTGAAAAGTTATTGTTATTAGAAGAAAGTTAAGTATGAGAAAACAATAGGTGAAGGAAATGTTACTGGTAGATTATGATTAAGAGAAAGTGGTATATTCACCTGCCAAACAAATTTGCTGCGAAATTTGAGGCACCTCCACTGAGAAAGGAGCTGGATACTTGGCAGCTGCAGGTCTCTCCCTCCCTCCTCCCCCTCCGGGGGAAGATGATATGGGGTAGCAGATCAGGTGGCAGGCTTACCAAGATTGCCTTCTGTCCTGGCTCCTCATTCCAGAGGGAGCAAAAATTGGGGGTGGGAAGAAATGTAGTGACATCACTTCAAATTGTACCCAGAAATGATATCATGGTGCTCTAGGAATTCTCCAACTCGCTTTGATTTCTCCCATAGATATTGCAGAATTTCTAGAGTGACACATGGCACTACTTCCATGTACAACTGGAAGTGACAATGCAGCATTTCACAACGTTGCTTCACTCCCTCATTTTTGTTCCTACTGGAGCAGGGGTGGCCAAACTGGTTTAATGTAAGACCCACATAGAATAAACATCAGATGTTTGAGAGCTGCAGGACACGAACAAATATTACATATGTTTTTATTGAAAAATATGCAGATTTGCTTTTTATTACCATTAAATGAGACAACCAAAAATAAAAACGAAAGGGATAAAAACAGATGCTGATAAGAATATTTATTCGTCCAATGATATTTGTAGATGGGGGGGGGGGCTTTGAGAATGCATTTAAAGTTAAAGTTTCTGCCTACCTCACAGGGTGTCTGTTGTGGGGAGGGGAAGGGAAAGGAGTTTGTAAGCTGCTCTGAGACTCTGAGAGTGAAGGGCGAGAGTGAAGGGTGAGATATAAATCCAATCTCTTTTTCTCTTCTTCTTCTCTTCTCTTTCTCTGCTCACCCCCACTTCAAGACTACCTAGGGAGGGAAACACTGGCTGGGGAAGGGAAGACCAATCAGGGACGCATACCTCCCTTTGCTTCCCCAGCCATCCTGCCAGGAGCCACACAATATATGTGAAAGAGCCGCATGTGCCTCCCAAGCTGCAGTTTAGCCACCCCAGTACTGGAGAAAAGAGGCCAGCTGGTGACCCTATCAGTTGCCCTGTCGAAGTGCTTTTGTGTCTTCACCGACAAGACACCATAAGCGCCTAGTGTTCTCTCCTGCAAGGGAACAACACCGTTATGCAAGACCAGCCCCTGGAACTTCTCATCACTCAGAGAAGTGGGGTTTCGGTTGGTTAACAACCAGGGCATTGCTGTCCACTGACTGTTTCTTGGCACTCCTGCAAACCAGTATTCTAACTTTGCTGCCATTTCAACCTCAAGGAGATCAAGTTCACCCAGTTTGTGTCTCTCTCTGAATAAATTTTGTTTCTGACACACCAGGTCGCTACCAGGCATGCTCAGAGGGTCCTGTGCTGGCAACAGTGGACCATGGCCAAGGAAGCAGGCGTTAGGATGTTTCTGCATAGGAACTTCCTGTACTTTTGACCTGTTGCTGTTCCTAAACTAGAAGCACCCAAAGTCCTATTCAGGGACCTTTTTAAATCCTTGCCAAAAATCACTGATGTAGTGCAGAGATTCTCACTGATCCCTCATTCACAACTGCAATCTAGCCATGGCTAAACACTTTTAAGGCCCATTTATTTAATTGGGAGAATTAAGCATGTGCTTAAATCCGTAATCAATCATGAGTCTTAAAAGTGCTTATGGGTGTAATCCGATATAAGCTTAATTAAACATAGCGTAACCCTGCATAGGATCAAGTGCACTTGTGGCTCAATCATGCCCTTTAATTTTAAAATTCAAAATTTGCCTCTAACATCCATATATGTATTCACAATATGACCATTTGTGTGAGATGTCATTCCACTACATTTCAAATGTGAGAGAACTAACCCCCGCTTGAAGTATTTTAAGAAGCTTAGGGTCCTTTCTAAAAATGTACCTGCCCTGATATGTAAAATGTAAATGTGTCACATGTACTCAGGATTGAGTCTAACGAAACTGAAAGACTAGTTCCAAGTTAAATATGCATGAGATTGCCCTGCACGGCCTACAGTGGGATTCACACAAAATGACAAAGCTACATCAATTTGGGTGCAGAGTGTATCGTCCCAAGCTTCTGTAGCTTTGTGTTGCTGCTGTGCTTGTTGTTCTAGGGGCATGAGTCTCACCTAGTTTGTGGGAGGTTCTGCCATGGATCCAGTCATTCTGTGCACAGAACATGGAGGAAGGGTCTTGATTTCAACCCGTCCCTCCTAACTTCTACATGCAGCCCCATACCGCTATTCCTCTACACAGATATTGCAGCCCCCCAGGAATGATCTTTCCAGGGAATGGAGATGAACATGGGAAAACTCTGTGTGCTTTTCAGGCATGGATTGTTGGATCCACACCACTTGGGGGTGAATCCTAGACATCTACTTAGGGGGGGGGGGAGGCCACGACTCAGTGGTAGAGCATATGCTCTGCTGCATGCAGAAGATCACAGGTTTACTTCTTGGTATCTCCTGAGAAAGCCTTACCTACTCTGCCCAAGACTCTACAGAGTCACCACCGGCCAGAAGAGACATCACTGAACTACCAAATTTCTGACTCAGTATATGGCAGCTTCACATATTCAGATGCCTATTTTTTTATGGTCATGTCAAGTCCAACAGCCACTCCAAAGTGGTTTGTGTGGTTCTTGCTTATGTTACCTTAAGTCTGCCCACCTTTGTGACCCACCAAGCTAAACATAGTTCCATCTACTGTGAGCTGCATCCTACCAATTGTTCCAGATGATTTATGAATAAATTAAATACTACTCATCTCAATACCTATCCTTGTGGGACCCCACTGCTTACTTCCCTCCATTGTGTTAACTGTCCATTGATTCCTACTCTTTGCTTCCTGTAATTTAACCAATTTTCAATCCATAAGAGAACCAGTCCTCTTATCCCATGACTGCTAAGTTTACCCAGGAATCTTTGGTGAGACTTTTGAAAGTCCAAGTATATAATGTCTACCAGGTCACTGTTGTCTAAATGTGTGTTCCCTTTCTCAAAGAACTCCAAAAAGTTGATGAGGCAGGACTGCCCCTTGGAGAAGCCATGCTGATTTTCCCTCAGCAGGCTTTTCCCCTCTATGTGTCTAACAATTCTATCTTTGATTACAGTTTCTACTAATTTGCCTGGGACAGACCTTAGGCTGACTGGCCTGTAATTTCCTGGATCCCCTCTGGATCACTTTTTAAAAATTGGTGTCACATTTGCTACTCTCCAGTCTTCTAGCACAGCAGCTGAATTTAGTGACTAGTGACAGGTGGCTCAGAGGTTAAGATGCTGAGCTGCAGACCAGAAGGTCAGTAGCTGGGCAGGTGGAGACCCGAGTGTGCCGCATGATGGAGTGAGCTCCTGTCTCTGGCCCCAGCTCCTGCCAACCTAGCAGTTCAAAAGCAAGAAATTGCAAGTAGATAAACAGGCACTGCTTCGGTGGGAAGGCAACAGTGTTCCGTGTGCCTCAGTGTTTAGTCATGCCGGCCACATGACCACAGAAACGTCTTTAGACAGTGCTGGCTCTTCGGCTTGGAAATGGAGATGAGCACCACCCCCTAGAGTCGGATTTGACTGGTTTTCGAGCAAGGGAAACCTTTACCTTTACCTGACAGGTTACATATATGAGTTAGTAGATCAATTATCTCCTGTTTGTTCCCTAAGAACTCTCTGGTGTATACCATCAGGACCTGGAGACTTAGTGGTTTTTAATTTCCCCAATAGGTCTAAAACTTCATCTCTGGTCACCTCAGTTTGGCTCAGTTCTTCAGACTCTCTTCCTGAAAATAGTGGCTGTGGCCTGGGTACCTGTCCCACAGTTTCCACAGTGAAAAGGATCTCGTAGGAAATGAAGCTGGGCTAGCACAATATCCAATATACAGAATCAAACTATTGTGTTTCAGATCCTGGCAGAAGACACTGACTGTGCCTGTGTCTGTCTCACTGCCCCATGTAAGAGTGTGAGGTGAGGGAAACCTTCAGTTCAAATTTCTCTTCATCCACGAGTTCACTAGATCTCTTTAGTGGCTTCCGTCTCTTAGCTCACTGTCTACAATATAAGGGTAACACTGACCTACCTTAAAAGCTTGTTGTAAGAATTACCAAGATAATGTGAAAGATAACACTGACCTATTACCGTTGCAATAAAATATGGAGCAAAAATGCAGCTGGAACAAGCCTCATTTTAAAAGCATGCTGCAGTAGGATGGTGATGACTGTGGAGACAGCAGATTCTTTTGGAATATAGCATGGGTACAGCCCTCCCTTACCTTTCTTCCTTAGCGTGGGAAGTATTATCTCCTTCTATTTCAAAGCTAATGCCTACTCACAGGGTAGAGCCGTGGCACTCCTGACAATTCTGGTGACAAAGCTCAGGGACCAGCTGAAAAAGTCATTATGTAATTGCAGACCTTTAGACTGAGAACTGTTTCAGAATAATTGAAAAGGATGCTTTAATATAGGTAATTTAAAAGGAGAGTACTACACTTCTTATGTAGTAGAAGAGCAACATGCTGTAGTCTCATATTAAAATACCTCATTACACAAAAATAAGATCTCCATACCTGAGCCAGAACCAGAGGTAGACAGATCATAGACTAAATCTTGCAAGGTCTTGTCCTTGGACAGGCACATCTCACAAGAAGGATCCTCCATATCCAGCCGCTGACGATTGTGGTAGACCCGCTGGTGGTGGTGAAAGAGGAAAACTACTATGATCATAATGATGAACCCAAGGAAGACTGGCCCTGCAATCACGGCCACCAGCTCCACAGGACCCCAGCTAGAAGGTGTTTCTTCATCTTTCCAGTGTCCTTTGGAGGAGAGAAAGAGCCATAAGCGATACAGTATCTTACAATAATAGTTATCACTCTCCAATTAAGAAACAATATGCAGTTCATGACTTTTCACAGTGCATAAAATACCTGCTTCTAGTAGTCGTGGATGATCAGAACAAGGAACTCTTTTGGTATTAAGACTCTACTCCTCTACTCATATTGGCAGACCAACAAATAATATGCTGAAACAATGTAAGAACACAGATATCTGTTCTGCATCTCATGGACTTTTCCCCTAACACTTCCAATATCTCCTCTCAAAAGCAACTCCTTCAGATTTTTTATTCCAGAACTCAGAAGACTAAACCACTTCTAAGAATCTCAACATCTCCCATTTTGAATATGGGAAGACATTTGGCAGATGTGGTTTTTCCTGTTACAGTCCTCTAGAGAAGGCAAAGCTACATGCAAACTTCTAACATGCATGTATCAGTGGAACAGGTCAAACTCTAGCAAACATCAACTAGGAGAGCAACCACAATTTTAATGTTACAGCAACTGTATACTTAAAAAAAAAAGCTTATTTTGAATATGCAGATATTAAACTTGTATTACATATCCCTTGTATAGTGCGGAGGTAGTCCTTTAGTACCTTCCTAGCTGGTTTAGCAACAGTCAAAACAAATGAAGACTTCCACTGTATGTAAAGCTCTCTCCCTCTTAACTTTGGCTCAAGTTCTCTTAATGTAGGTCACTCAATTCCCAAATATGCAGGCTGTCTCGCATGAAAAATATGGTCCACAATGCAACTCATTACCACAAGAGGGAGCCAAAGCTATTTTCAACCATTTTCCTCCTCCACCAACTGAAGAACAAAAGTTACACTGAGGCAGTACATCAAAGTAGGAAGACTCAAATATTACAACTAGTAACATGGACAGAACAGAGTTTTGTGGAACCTTAAAAACTAGTAATAAATAAATTAATGTATTTATTAAATGTATACCCCGCCCTACCCCCCAAAATGGGCTCAGAGCGGCATAAATTCATTGTGGCATAAGCTTCTGTGAGCCCACTTTGCCTGAATGCATAAAAGTGTTACATTCAGTTGGCAGAGGAATATAAACATGAAGTACAAACAGAAGGAGGGGGCACACATGTGTGTGGGTCTGCGGGGGGCGGGGGGGGGGGAGGTATTACAAAAAGGCAAGAAGGCCCAGTATCTCAGATTGCAAACAATAAAAGCAGTGGTGGTGGTAATATTTTATAAAGAGAGCTCAGTGTAAAACAATATTCAACCAAAAAACTAAACAATCCACTCACAGTGGATGAGGACCACTCACAACTGTTGATAGATAGGCAAAGTGAGGTTAATACAAAACACAAACTAATTAACTGCTGTAAAGGGTGGGATATGCCACTGGACTGCTGTTTTACAATCCAAAGTCTGATGGCTGTCAAATCTGCATACGAATTCCAACAGCAGCTTCTTACTAGAATCTCCTTCTCTACTCTTCTGCTGATGTACTGCAACCTTTAAGTCTATATCAAATCTCCTGGGTGGTTGAAAACACTTCTGAGTGTTTTCATTTTTAATATCTGATTTGCAGTCATTCACTTTCTTGGGTACAGACCATCCAGCTCCACCAATGTAAACGACAAAGGGCATTACTGGCACATGTCATAGCACTTTAGAGGACACGCAGGTGAGTTAGGCCTTGATGGTGTGGCAGATAATGCTAGTCCAGTGACAGTATTACTTGGGTGGGCATGGACAGGCTTCTCCACCCCACAGCCTGCCAGAAGAAAGGATCATCTTCCAGGTGAGGCTACAGATTCCTGATGATGCACTGGATTGGTGACAGCTGTGACACGGCTAGAAAGGCACCAAATAGTTACCTTCAAAAGGGCAGGCTCAGCAGAGAAAAATAACAGAGAGACACATATTATTTCCTATCCTTCTAGTGCATCATCATGGACATGTATTGGTTATTGTGTCTAATGGTCATCATTAGCAATAGCAGCACCATTTCCCTGCACCATTTTCTGACCTGGCAGCGTAAAAACAAAGAGAAAAATACTGATGACAGATTAGTGCTAGTGTGAGTACAGCACTGAGAGTAAAACTAATTTAATTGCCTGGAAATGACCCCAGAGCACTCCCTTCTTCAATTATGTAGATCCTTACTTACCACTGGGCACCATAAGATCAATTTTGTTGCAGTAGTCAGAGTAGCAGCAATGTGTATTGCGCAGATGGTCTGAACTCAGGCAGAAGAAAGGTTTTCCAGCAGGAACAAGATCTGACTCAGGGATGCAGGTTCGGACATGATGCTTGACTCCATTCATGTTTGATATTGAGACCATGCAGGCACCATCTGTTTCACATGTGGAGTTCGCTTGGGTGCAACCAGAGCATAGACACAGTAAGGCTACAGAGACCAAGAAAAAAAAAACCCTTCTATGACCAACAGTCCACAGAAACAGAAGGGGTGATACTTTTTCCCTTGAGAGAGAGTTCCAGCTTACTCCAAGGTTTCAGAGAGACGCAAATGGCTTTAAAGAAGAACTAGTAACATTTGTAGAACATTCTGAATGCCATAGGCCAAGAAAATATGGAAAGCATTTACTGTTAGTTCTCAGACTTCCCATCTGTCTAAGTCCATAAATGAATGACTCATTCAGTTCAGAGTCCCCGTAATACTATATGAACTCAATTGCCAACAGGAATAAGGGAACCTCCCCCCCCCATATATAGTGCTTTACAGAGAAAGCACCCTAACAGCCAGAAATGTGCACCTATAGTTAAGGGCAGTTCAGCCAACTCAGCATTAAAAGAAGCATCTCTCTAATATATACCATATAACGGCAGATGCAGAAGAGAGCTGGAAATGGCTGAAGAGTTTAACGGCCTTTATTTTTCAACAGGGAAAAAAGCATCCCATGTCATCTTTATTTACACAATCAAAGGTGTCTCATCTATTGCTCTGGAAGATCAATCGTTTTGAATACTGCACCATCCCCACATGCCATCCCACAATTTCAGCTTCAACAGGCCACTCTAGGGCTGACAGGAGCAAGTCTGCCCAGGTACAGTCCCCACCTGTGGCATACTAGAATGAGGATTTGAAGTGGAACTTTACTCCATCATACATGCAAACTCCCCATTCACACTCAAACCAGGCAGATTCATTTTCTGAAAACCACTGAACAGATTGATCAGATATCTATGACTACAGGCTTGTTTCTGATAAACCCAGAATGCAACCTGGGTATCTGAAGTGAGAAGTTCCGCATTCTGCCTGATGTTCAGACACATCATCAATTTGCTTTTTAAAAGCACACACACATATCGCCTGTGGGCCAAATTATTTGTACTGAGATTCTATGACTGGAATTTCAGATGTGGTATTTGGCCCTAAAAAATGAAGCTGGAGGGCGTGTAAATGAGTGTTATGACATTGGGGTAATGGGGAGCCTTAATGCCTTCGCTCATATGTCATTTCCTGGATTATAAATGACACCCTAGGCTGCTTTAAGCCCCTGCGTGTGTGTGTAGGACACAATATGAGAAAATCTCTTTTTCCTCTTCAGAACCATAACTACCTGGAGGAAAGAGTATTTTTGGTCACAGAAACAATGCAGGGGAGAGACTTAACACCCTCCTCTCCAGTATCTTGTCCCTAAATTCTTACTCCTCCACTGCTGATTCCTAGAGCAAAACATAAAGTCTGGGGGAACTCCAGAATTATGTGTAGTCTGATCATCCGAAGCTACAATTAGTTCTCTAAAACCAATCTGAAAGGTGGAGATTTAGAGATGGCAGTAAGAGAGTCAATCATGGCCCGCTACGGCAGGCCACTGAAGTTCATACAAATGGTGGCATGAAGCAACCATGTCTGGCAGCATGAAGGGCATAACCCTGACAACGGTGCAAAGCTAAGCTAACTGCTTGCAATAGTTGTTATTTTGTGGTGTCAGAAAGAACTGCCTCCTTCTACAGGCCTGTTTTAGGGTATGACAGTTTTAAAATTTGTAATCACTTAACCTGTAGAGGAACATATAGAAATCTACACCAGCTGGTCAAAGCCATGCAAGTCTGGTTATGGTACATCAGCATCTCCAACATATGGCATGCAGTTGTGGTCTACACTACCTCTAAATGCACTCTATTTATTCAGATAAAGGGGCTGTAGCCACAGTTTTTGTCAAGTCATCTTGAAGCGTCACAGCCACTTCATTATAGTCCCAAGGGCACCAACACCACTCGGGACATAGCATTTCTTAGCAGGTTCATCATCATGAACTCACTAGGTAATCTGTGTACCTTTAGCTTCAACCTTTCACCTGCAATGTATGGTACTGATCCACCTTACAAAGATGGTGATAATGAAAGAATGGTTTAGAAGAAGAGGAATGTGTTGTGGGTTTGTGTGATCTTCCCAATTCAGTGTTTAAACTTCCATCCACTAAATAATTAATAATTATCGTATGGCAGTTTGTGTGGTATAGCCAGGAGATCCTAAGATTGTCTGGCAGACAGAAGATCTAGCTCTTTTAGTGTTATACACCACTAGGTGGTGCGCTAGGCT